TAGTAGCAGTAAGAGAACCAGCTGGTATCTGCATTTCAGAAATTTTCAGAACTTTTGAGGAAACAAATGAATAAGCAAATATTTTGCCAAAAATCAGTCTATACTTGATCATTACAAACAGTGGAAGGTATGCACAAATATACTGGTAAAGTTCATGCAAAATTCCTGTAACTGCTCTTCTAGTAACCTCATAACATACAGTCTGTGCTGTGCTTGGGCGACAGCACCTGTTTTTAGGAAAAATTATGGCTACATTTAATCCAGTAAAAAAGAGGAGAATGCAACAAAAGCCTTTGCAACTCTCAGTATACATATGCTTTGATGGAATGGCATGTAGTTGTTGCAGGAAGGTCAGTGTGTATTTATTAATTTTCTGGATGCATCTACCTGATGCTTCAACCTGTGGAACATTAAGAGATATCTGAATGTCTGGATTTGTAACATATATGTGTATGATATAAACCCTTGTATTTTTAGGGATTTTCCTGCTTGTTATCCTTGGTCTCCTCAATCTGCCAGCTGGGGCCTCTGTAATTTACAGTACACCTCAATCCAGAAGGCTAGGGTGGTGTAAATTCAAGCCTGTGGTATTCAGTTCATGTGCTTCAATTCCTGCTATTGTTTTCAGCAGTTTCCACCAAGGGTGTGCTTCGCTTTGAGAACACAGTGCTCCATTCATCAACTTTAATTTTTTATTATATACTACTGACAATATGGACAGAGGGAGAAAATCAAACTGTTTAATTTCCACCTAAAGTATAATTTAGTCAGACTGTGGGCGCCTGGGTCTCAGAGAATGATTCAAATTGCCTCTTCTCAAGCACCACCTAAACCCTGGTGGCACCTAAAATGAGTCATTTTGGACAACAGATTTCCCCCGGCGTCTGGGCATAAGTTCTAGGGAAGCTCAGAAGCACCAGGCACGTTACTCCCACCCAAGTTTCATTGTGACTCAAAGATGTGTGTAGAGATGCCTGAACGCTGCCAGTGTTCCCAGAGGTGTCTAAGCCATTGACTGTGCTTAAATCACACATAATAAGCTTGGAGAGCATTGAATTCAGCACAAACCACGGCAGTCACGAGCGCTTTCAGTGTCGAAGAGGGAGAGGAAACCTCTTCAATAGCCTTAAAGGTTAGAGCAGTCATCCAGGAAGGATGTCTGGTTTGGATTGTCCTAAGCTAAGGAAGCTCAACAGGAATGGGAGAACTTGACTGTTGTCCCACTGTTAAGGATAATTCCTGGGAGAGGAAAATCTCAGATTCATGGTTTTGCTCCCAAGTCTGATTATGTGTTTTGGTTCGGACACTCTTGTCCAAAAAAAACATAGGCATCCACTGGTTCAGAGACCAGATGCCAAGGATACCCTCCTTTGCTTGTCTGTTTGAACTTGTAAGTTCTTTCTTGTCATCTTTATAGATGAATTTGCACCCTTATTAATTGATACCCATATTTCTGTAATGTTAGGGCTTTCTTAAGACCTGTCTTCTCTCTTACTGCTTTTGGCTTGGACACCATGAGGTATTACCCTAAGTTAATGTTCTCTGTATTTGTGCTTTACATCTGTAGACTTTGAGGTGAGCTTGGTATAGGTTTCTTTCATCCTTATTCTCTCTCCTCACATGGAAAGGGTAAACACTCTATGAGGAAGTACTTGTTGAGCTGTGGACATGTAGAACAACTTGCATTTGTATTTTTCATTAACATTTAATGCTGCTTTTGTACTGTTTTCACCCTGCACATGACGTCTCATTAGTTCTCTCATTAGTTTTTAAATGTGTGTAGATGCAATCAGGCAAAACCGTATATTAAAGAACTTCTGAATTTCAAATTCAGTATTCTGCAAAATTGTGTTTTGGCTTTTCTCATGTTCCCATATGAGGTTTTATGTCCATGCTTCTGTTCTGCCTTTTTTTTTTTTCCCATCAAGTGTCATTATATATTTATTGTTTAAACACATGCATACTTTGCCTATTTCTGAGGAGTTTTTAACTGAGCTTTACAGAGTTGAAGATAATGTGGCAGTAATACTTAAATTTTGCTATAGTATCTTAGTCATTGTCTGTGCCTAAGTCATATCAATGCTAGATACATGCTTTTTATTCTATTATGTTCACTTGAAGCCATTCAGGGAGCAAGAAAATAGGGGAAATTGTGCATAGTAGTAGATAGCATGCTAGTTTTCTGAGTATTTTATCCCTTAACTTTTTTCCTTTTAGCATTCATCATCTGTCTGGGAAGGGTTGAGTGTTAAGTGTATACATTAAAGCATTTGTTAATGAACATTCCTTGGTGACCAAAAAGTCATTTAGTTACTCAATGAGAACTCTTCTCAGAATAAAGATATTGCTTCTGTTAAGTTATGTCTTTGGTATACAGTAGTTGGATACCCAATTTGTGCTGTTTATTGGCCAGACACTGGAACAAGTTTCCCAGAGGGTTGTAGAATAATCACCATTCTTGGAAACTTTAAAAACTCAGCTGGACAGGACTTATAGTAACCTGATATAATTTTCAGGTTGGCCCTGCTTTGAGCAGGGGGTTAGATCCATTGGCCTCCAGAGGTAACTTCCTACCTAAATTATTTTGTGAATCTAACTGAAGTTATCCTTGGTCCGATTCTGCTTAAATCTTACCTCTTTAGTTGACTTCACTGAAATCAGTGTAATGCCCTTAGGAATTAATTTGACCTTGTCTGCTTTTCTCATTTCCCCGAATACAGTTTTCTCTGTCAGTTCAAAGGTAAGAGAAGCTAGAGTAAATTCCTGTCCTGTTTCATAATGCTGGTCCACACCTTAACTCTTGTGCTGTTTCCGAAATGGTTTGATAAACAGTTAAGAAGGATAATTTTATATCATGTGCCCTCACATACAACCAAATTTTTTTGAGAAAATTCTGAAAGAAGCACTTAAAATTTTAGAAGACTAATACTGTCATTCATTTAGATAGCTCTTAAAGTGTCAGGGAGGCTTACAGTAAAAAGCAATGATGGTGAGGAGGAAAAAAAAAAAGAAAAAAAAGGGCTCCATGTTTACTAGAATACCTACCACGTCCAGAAACTACTTCTGTTTGTTTTGCAGACTTATGATGGTTTCCTCTCCTTTCATTTGATCAAGATTTCTGATTATTGCCCTTCCACAGTTGACTGCCCTTTGCCCATTAATGTAGACTCCTCTGTGTTTCCCAATATGGAACTTAGCTGGGAAACTTAATTGATTTTGGAGAGCTAATCAGATGCTCTGAGAGCCAGATATCCTGTCTATCCAGCTGTAAACCTGAGATGCCATCTCTGTAGCTTGCATGGGATGCTGTAAACCAGATCCTGATCCCATGTCCAGATAGTCTACTGTCCTGCAGAGACGCACTCATGTGTTACTAATGCCCACTGAAGGTATTTTCTTTATAAATCATAGACGTATTCTTTATGCTATAATTAAAATACAGAGTAGTATGAAATCTAGATCCAAGTCCTGCAAAGCCTATTCACTTTTGCCTTGCCTTTTGACATTGAAACATCTATAGCTGTACAACAGAGCATGTGGGTTCACTAACAATGTGGGAAAGCAGCCAATTTGGTCCTGGGATAAAACAGGAATCAGCTGTGGGAAATAAGCCAAAGAAGTGTATTCCCACATAAGGGACTTAAATAGGTGTTAGTCCATAAAGAAGCTCTTTGGCGAGGTTTAGAGCAGGCTTCTCTGCACAGAAGGCATTTTTCCTGAGATCCTGAATTAACTGAAGTGCACTGATTTCCAGGAGGGTTGTGGGGTTATTGTCTTGTCAGCTGGTGCTTTCCTCTTTTTTTTTTTTTTTTCCCCCCTTTGTTTTGTTTTGGTTTTAGTTTTTTTTAATAAAGCATTTATAGCACATTACTGTGTAATTATAATTCCATTTGTTTTTTTTTAAACTAAACCATTTACTTCACATGATTGTGGGAACTAAAATGGAGGAAATTTTTCTGCTGCATGGGGCCCTCGGGTTTCCTTTGCTCTGATTCGGGGATTGCCTTTTGCAATGTGGCTAGCTGGACAATCCTGACAGTTTTCAGCAAACAGCAATGTTAACACTTCAGCTACTCATGTGTTGTGTAATGTTTGCATCTGTGGTTTTCATTTGTCTTGCCTCTGTCTTAGAAAACAAATAATTTGAAATGCAGAAGTTTCAAAAGAAAGAGGTCGATTGCACCATCCTAATTTGTTTAGTACAGAATTAATATATATTCAATGATTACTAAAGTCTGTAGGCTTGAGTTACAGACTAATTTTCATTTTTTCTGAAATACAGACTTTTCAAATAGTTCATAGAAGTGGTGTTGTACTGTGTTTGGTGATATAGGTAGCAAGTCAGGCTTTTTTTTTTTTTTAGAGGTGTCAACATATCTTAGGTAAGAAAGGAATAGCAAAATCAAACAACAGCAAGTCGTTCATTCAGAAATGCATTCCTTATTTTTGTTTAAGCCTGCTAAAGTCCAGTTGTTCTGATACTCAAGACATTCTGAGTCATTGCCCATGGAGGTGACTGGATCTAAGCCCCTGCTCAAAGCAGGACCAATTTAAAAGTTAGATCAAATTATTATGAGCCCTGTCCAGCTGTGTTTTGAAAGTCTCCAAGGATGGGGATTATTGACAAATCCTCTGGGAAACTTGTTCCAGTATCCCAAGCAATAAATTGGGAAAAACAATATTTTAAAACTTGTTTACGTGTGGCATTTACTTTGCAGCAGTTCTTTTAAGACTCCTATTTATGGTAATCACAGATTTTAAAACAGTTAGAACAAAAAATTCATTAGCAAACTCTTCAGCCATTTATTCTTATAAATAGACTGAATTGTACTTTCGGTAAGAGGCACTTCTGAACGCTGAAGCCCGTGAATTTGTATGAGTGTGAGTGAGCGTTTGGCTCCTTATTTTTACCGGGTATTATTTCTGTTCATTCCTTTTAAGCAGTGTTTGTGTCTGTAAGAATAACAAGAAATCTTTTTTTTTTCTCCCTCCTATTGTAGGCAAGTATTTCCAAATGGGCTTCCTGAAGAATACTCTCTAGTTGCTACGTTCCGTGTACGGCGAAATACCAAGAAAGAGCGTTGGTATATATGGCAAGTTTTAAATCAGTATGACACACCTGAGGTTAGAGTCGTCTTTGATTTATTTTTTTCATTAAGTTTTTTTTTTTTTTTTTTTTTGCCCCATATAATACGGCCAATATAACTTAGTGGATGTTTCTCCACTGGATTTAGCTACAGTTTATATGGAATAGACAGACTGCTCTGAAATAATATGTGATTTATTATAGGAATGACAGAAATTTAACAAAACGTATTGCTTTAAGACTGCAGACTAGGATAAGAAGGCATGTTGTGATTTATAGCTGATATGTATTTACAAAGTTACATAGAAGATTGCTTCATAACATAATTCTTGCCCAATCTATGTAGTTGAAGTATTTTTATCATATGTAGTTTATATATGTGTTTAATTCTTATAAGATTAAAATGACCATTTCTTTTATTTTATTTTACTTTCAGATCTCTGTCCTTCTGGATGGTTCAAAAAAGGTTGTGGAGTATATGACCAAATCTGCGCAGGGAAATATACTGCACTACACTTTTAAGAGTCGAGAAATTTATTCATTGTTTGATCGGCAGTGGCATAAGCTTGGTATTAGTGTGCAGTTGGGGATCATTTCCCTCTATTTGGATTGTAATTTAATTGAGAGAAAGCAGACTGATGAAAAATTCACCATTGACTTGCAGGGAAGGACTCTGATTGCTTCTCGTGCTGCAGATGATAAGCCTGTAGATGTGAGTAGTATGAAAGGAAAACCAGATAACTTGAAATCATGTTTTAGCCATGCTTTTACTAACACCATCGTAAAGAACTATGTAGATAAAAGGTTCAAAACCAGCTATTAATTTTGAGTGTGTATTCTTAATTTGAAGTCCTTAAGTCTTTTTGTCTAAACTATATTCAGTGCTGTAGCATCTGCTAAGGCAAAACTTCTGTTACCACAGTAACTCAGAAACTTGATCCTGGTTTCAGGAGTCTGTTTTTCTGTATTCGCTTTGGGGTAAGAGCCACATAGTTACTGTAGACCTATTATTACTACATCTAGAGATAACTCCAGTGTTTTTTGGGTTTTTTTTTTTCTTTCAATTTTTATGAGATTTATTTATAAGTTTGTATCAGTCATCTGTTACACTTTGTCTTTCTTTGATAAAGGGGAGACACAGAAAAATTAAGGATTACGTCTGTATCAAGATTGTGCCACATTCCAGGGTAATTCAGCTATGCAGAAATAGAGGCATGTTGTTCATAGTTGTTTCTCCCTCCTCCAGATGGGAGGGATTAGGAAATAGCTAGAGGTGTGTTTCCTGCAGCCTTTGGTGCAAGAATTACCCAAGGCAACCCCATAATATTCTGGGCTGTTCTGTCGCAGAGATGCTCTCCTCTGTTTCCTCGTGCACAGAGCTCACATCAAGTAATTTGAAAGCTCCAGGAAATGTCGGTTTAAGTATGCTGACATCCATTTACCAGGTTTAAAGCATCTGGCTTGGAGTTTATAGTGACCATCTGAAAGTTTCAGCTATATTATGTAGGGTGTACAGTTCCGGATGAAAATAGCAGATTGTAACTGCAAGCTAGCATTGTGGGAGGAATCAGTCCTGTGAAGCGCTAAGCACTTTGGCCTGGACTTGGAGCTCTTATTTCATGGGGCAAAGATCATGCTTCATTTTATTTTCTGAGTTCAACTTTATTTGAAATGCATATACCATCTCTTCATTTCCAAGTAGCATGCAGGAGAAAGAGCAGTTTCTTTTTATCTTGTGTAGGTTGCATGGAATTTGTCAATCAAGATTTCCATGTTTGCAGGAAAACATGGGCATAAAGCTGATGAAGGCAGCAGAGTGGATCCTGTACCAACAGTCACTCTTCTCAATGCCAAGTGCAAGAGAGGGAATAAGGATACAAAACAGATGTAGAAAGAAAGAGGCATACAAGGGCAAAATAAGCTAGTTAAAATTAGATGCTGTTCATCTCAGCAATCCACTCAAAAATCTCTGAAACAGAAGCTTTATGTACAGAATTTGTGTTTTTCTTGCTCTTCAGGTGATTTAGTGGCAAGGTCCAGGCAAAGGTCTGTCCAAAGTGATAGAAGGTATATGTGAGATGGAGCTTATCAAACCTTTAGCTCTAGTTCACTGCAGGAGAAAATCACGTTCCTGAAAAGAAGGTTTGCAGAGGATGTCTAGAGGGCTAAAATGCCTATGTAGCATCGCAAGGGCAGTACAGAGGGATCCAACTTACATGAAGATAAATTAAATCTAAAATGTGATTTACATCCAAGTAATAGACTGCACAATTTCTTCCTTAAGTGAGGAGCTGGGTATTTGTTCTGGATTTGTCTGTTTTTCCAGCATTTCAGAAATACGCAGTGTTTCAGAGAGAAAGTCTATTATGCCAAGATAAGAAAATGCATGCCATCACACATGACTTTTTACATCTCATATTCATCTCCTTTTGTATTTCTTAATAGATTGAACTTCACCGCATAACAGTTTATTGTAATCCAAAACTTGCAACGGAAGATAGGTGTTGTGAAATATCTGCAGACCTGGTAAGTTATTTGTTAAAATGTAAATGCTAATACAAAAGAAATTGCTTCATTGTTTCTTTCTAAAGAATTGTAAAGAAATTTCAATAGAAGTGTTAGATTAATTACCTCCTAAAGATGAATCCTTTATCTGGAGTCATGGTATGTTGTTCCTTGCTGCCTAACTAAATGGCACAGTGGAACTTCAGTAAAAGGCACTAGGTGCTGCTAGTGGTTTTTAAATGCATTTCTTAACATTGATTAATATCTAGTTAGTAACTGAGGAAGTCTCAGAAAGTAGGAAACAAATCACTGCAATAACCTGAGGGATGGCTTCAAGTAACGGAGGCCATTTCAATAACAGTTGTGCGTAGTGAAGCATTACAGATGATAAACAAAGCCCATGAAAGAGCCTGCATGACAGTGAAAGGGAAGAAAAATAGGAAGGTGTTGAGGGTGTTTCCCTCCTTTCAATACACTAACATGGAGGAATGGGTGTTTCATAATTAGCAAATACTTTCTTCTTTATAACGCACATAGTCAGATGTATATATTGTTTAACATAAGGGAAAATGCTGATTTAGTTTAGAGGGTTCACTTTTCCCTTTTGTTTTGATAGACTGAATCAGTGTGAACTGGAAGATGCTAGAACTATAGAAATGCTTGAAGTTGTGGATGTGATTGTTTTGCTGAATTAAGCCCATTTGGAGAAAAAAAATACTTTAAAACAAAACCTCAGAAAATATGTTAAAATATTGGTCTGCTAGTTATGAATAGTCTCTAAGAGCAGGCTCCTTTGAGATAGCGGGCAGTAGCATTACCACCCAGCCTGCAGTCAGCAAAAAACCCCAGAGCATGTGGAATGACTAATTGATTCCATCTACAAAGAGATGGGAGAAAAGGGTACCTGGAATGGAGGGATAAAGCTGCCCAAGAACAGAGGAGCAGAAGACTTTGTGGGAACTGACGACTGATAGGTGCACAGAAGCATGGAAGGGTCTGGATCTAATCTATTAAGGGAAATTTCAATTTTATATAATAATTTATTGTTCAAATATATTTCAAAATATATTCCTGATAATGGTGCAGGCTTTCTCTTGAATGTATAAGCTCATCGATAAGTGAAATGAATGGATTTTTTTTTTCTGTAGGTTCCAGTTTGTGCATAGAAATACAATTCATTCAGCAGTTATGACACTAGCAAAAAAGTAAAACCCAAACTAAGCCTAATTATATATGAACACAAAAAGGTCAAGGATAGGCTTTGTTAATAGCATCTTAAACATTCATTCAGCTATATAGCTAAAAGCTCCAGCAGTTTCATTTGTACGTCTTATGTTGAAGATGTAAAAATTGGTGGACTACTTGTTAATGACTTTCATATTGAAACCAGCATTACATTTTCTGATTTATTTTTTCATTACTTCCTTACCAATTATAAAGGCTACATTTTCAGTAATTTAAGGGAAGGAATTTATCCTTGCATACAAATTTCTACACTAAGCTGTAAATCCTGTGGGCATTTCTTTGACAGAAGGCTGGCAGGAGACCTCATTACATCTTAATGAGAGTTCTGAAATTTGTCAGGTTCTGTTGGCTTGTCCTGTAGTATATCTTCAGGTTGGCTCAGCTCTCATGAGTTACAGACAGCTGAATATTGGCTTCAGGGCTTTTTGTTTGTTTCCAACCTGTGCATGCCCAAAGTATTTCATTACAAAAAAAGGACAGAATTTTCCCTTACACTCACTCTGACATTTTGCATTTTGGGGCAGGGGGCGAAGGACGGGATGAGACTGAGAAGTACCCTCTTTTTTTTTTCCCATGGGCATTTTCTGCTTCACTACTTCTAATTTTGGGAGACTTTATTCCTCTGTCTGGGCTCTTTTGGAAGAAAGAAGTAGGACAGTCAGATCAGTTTTAACTGGCATCGATTTTAGTACAGAAGGATCACAATGTCTAGACTTCATTTTACTACAGCTTTTTCCTCTTGTTTGGCAATTGTTGTGGCTTCTCTGTAATATGGTGTGTACAGGCGTATTAAAACAGAAAGTAACTTAAAAATAGCGTTTGGATAGTATTTATCTATTAACTAAAGTGGACCAAAAATCAGAAAATCTTGGTTTTGTTTTAGTGCCCACGTGAGGAGAGATTACTTGCTACAACTTCATCACCAGTGACTGTTCATGCCAGCAAAATATACACGCTTCCAGGAATGCAGCAAGAATCTAGAGAGAGATGCCACTGCTTTCCAAATAAAGTATGAGGTTTTCCTATTGCTTTTTAGTGCATCATGCTGTTTAAACCTGCTAGGCATTAAAAAAAAAGGTTGATTTTTTTAAAATTTTTTTTGAAATGTATGAAATATGAAAAATATCTTACTGGTTTGTAGTATTGTACTTACATTGTATTTCCCAGTTAAGAAACAGTACATTTTAGATTTAGTTATTTTAAAGTTAGAGTTGCAGAGATCTGTAAGGTTTAGTTGTTTGAATACACACCCAAAAAAATCCATAGTAAAAATGAGAATTATATTTAGGTATTATATGTAGTGTAAATGTTTTTGCTTAAGAATAAATTATTTTCTACATAATCCTTTTTTTTTTTTTTTTTTTTTAAATCCTTCTCCTGAATCTTAAGCTATATTTCTTCCAAGTCGTTTGCTTTGTTAGGCTTTTGTGATAAAGACAAGGAAACCAAATCAAATACATATTTTGGATCTGCTGCTTTGTTGATTTTTGATTTCTTTTAAAATCAGGGAGAAGCAGGATTGCCAGGAGTAGCTGGTTTGCCAGGCCAGAAAGGAGTTAAAGGTGAAAAGGTAAAATATCAGTTGAATTCTCTCTTTCAAATCTTTATCTTTGGCTTATCTTAGTTAAATAGAAACTTTATGGATTTTGTTATTCCTTAAAGGAATCTGCCTATACACAGGTTAAATCCTTTATCAGTCAGTCTCTGGTTCTGCGTGTGGGCTTCCTGCCTGGCAGCTTACAGCTGTCTCACTTCGGGGTCCCCTCAGCGACTCCGTGGAACACAGTCTCCCTGCCTGGGAAGTACATGCCCACCCAACCCTGTCAGCGTGTCCTATTGCCTGTTGCCCTTATCCAAAAAAAGAGAAGTCACATATGTCGTCCGTGACAAGGATTTTCCTGTATGATGTGTGCACATCACTGCTGAAGGACAGAATCCTGTGTGGTGGATTCATCCTTGCATCATCAGTAGGAGGGTATGAATTCACTTGTAGCACCTCAGCGCTGTATATTCTTTGACATCATTCCTACCTGAAACTTTCTGAATTGTGAAGGGAGAGGGACCTGACATTGACAAGCCCCCAGGACAGGCCAGTTGGTGCTCCTTTCCTTGGGCCTATTCCCTTTTCCTAGGTGGAAAAAAAGTTCACGCATGTTAGTTTCTATAGCCCAGCTGAACCTAGAGGGATTGCTGGCAATTTCCAAATTTAATCATGAATTTTTGCTGATCCTAGATCTGAGTATATAGAAAAGTTGTCAGTGTTGGGGTTAGCCCGTGTTACCAACATAGGAAGTTTCCTAGCATTTATTTGGGAAACTGCTCTTCTGCTCCCCATTTAGACTATTACTGCTACTAAGATAAGAAAGGAGACTTCAGAAGTCTAATTTTTTTACCATTCCATCTCACAGACAATTAGCAGTATTTACGATATTAAGCATAGTACCTCTAAATAAAGCATGTGGGTGCCTGTGGTCACCTCCAGTTCTCTTGTTTTGTTTGTTTTACAAAGAAACCCTCATTGCATTGATTCAAAAATCATCCAACGGTCAGTGAACCCTTTCAACTTCCATGCATCATTGATACCAAATTGCATGGGGCTATGTCTGACATGGTTGGTAATAACAAAGTACAAAATTTTTGGTTTAGGCATAAAACTGAAAATTGTTAAGCTTGAGATTCACGAAAAAGAAATCTTTCAAGATTTATACAAATAGAAAAATTTTTTGGTAGTGGCCTACTACCTATAAGTCCAAATTTGATCTGTTTGTCACCAGCTACTCTGATGCTTCACTGAATGTTTAAAGCCTGAGCAGGACTATGTGCATTTAGCAGCTTAGCCTAATGATAGTAAATTGGCATCTGTGAATGTCAATTCACAAAATTCAATGAATCGGCACATTAAAGTCAGAGGGAGTATGGCCAACAGCTAGAAAGCGGCTTAGTTTGAACCTTCCTTACAATTGACCAATACTTGCTGCTTCCTAGCTTTGGGGTGGGTTTTTTTTGCTTTTGTTTGGGGGGTGGGTGGAGGGCACATTACTACTGTGATTAAAAGGATAGTCTCAGTGTTGACCTTTGGGAGCAAACAAATACTGCCTTGAATAGTGCCTACCACAATGGAGCTGAATGCCATGTTCTCTGAGGATTTAGGACCATTTTTTCTTCGCCTCTGCATTTATGCAAGTTTTCAGTAACACTTGCTCTCAGTAATGGCCTTGTTACATCAATAATTAGAGGTGGAGAGGCAGCAAGACCCCAGACCATTCCACACATGCAGGATACCTGATTTATTGCCAGATGACATAAAGGAGAGTAACAGACTGTGGTTGGATGGTTTGTAACATGTTATACATGCAATAAGCACCTTATTGATGACTTTGCTGGCTAGTAACAGAAAAATGGTGTAAGTTGTCTGATGGCTCTTCAGCTTATGTTTCCTATTTTGCTCATGCTCAGCTCCTCATTTTATTGTTTGCTTTTGCTTCTAAATCATAATATTATTAGCATCCAACTAACTATATTTAAATGTCCTTGCCATGGCAGCATCCAAGTGAAAACAAGTTAATGTTAATTTTTTAGCTTCTTTCCTGGGAAATTTCTGAATCTGTTGATATTATCTCTGTTCAGCACAATATTTCTTACCCTTTTACTGTACGTCGTCTCATTCCAATTTCCCATCCATTGTAATTAATTGTATGACTGAATTTACATGTCTTTTTGTTGCTGTGGGATTGGCAAGAAAGTCTCTACATACACAAATTGGTGTTAGGCGATATTCAAGCCTCCCAAAATTGCCCTTCTCTTCAGTCTAACATAGCTGTTCCCTAAGATCAGACTCTGGCATGTTCAGGAATATCTAAGCTATCAACAATAAAAAGCATGATACCTGATAAACCATTTTTAGGCATTTTGAATTTAATTATTAGCCTGTTTCCACTTCATTCCTGTACACTTGGCAGTACTGTTGGCAGTCCTGGACTCTTGGCTCATCTTAGTACCTCTGAACGGGTCTGAGCCAAAGTCCAAAGTGTATTGTGGGCCCAAATGACTAAAGTGCCGTATTTTCATTGGAACAAGCATTCATGCAAATACTGATGCATCTCTGCCAAGCTATCCGTCTGAATGTACAGGAGCATCACTGATCAAAATTATTCCATTTGTGTGAATGACCTTCCTATTTGTATGCCTGGCCTTCCGTTAGGGCTTCGTGAGGACATTATGAGAACAGTTCTTCACTCAACAATAGAACTGTTACCTCGGGTGCTTCAGGAGTGAAGAAGCTGCTCAGTTTCAAGACCGGCTCCCTTCTTGAATGACCAAACCATTCAGTACCATACACCCCGTACTGTGTAGCAAAAACTGCCTCGAGGGCGGTAGTCCCCGTCCCTTTTGTTTCCTGTGCAAGCTTGCATCCAGGGGTGTTTGCTCTGCAGGATTTTATTTGCTGGAAGATGAGTTTCTGCAGCTATCTGCAGCAAGGGACGACCTCCTGCTCTTTAATGTCTGAATAATTAAGACTCAAAAAGTCACCAGGACCAACCTTGTTTGTTGCTTACTGGTCTCTGCCCTTGAAGCACAGTTTTTGGACCGCCTGATAGCTTTTTCCCATTGGATGAAAACTGGGAGGCAGCAGCAGTCGAGCGTACAGTTTAGGTTATCCATGAATAATATACTGTGTTATTCTCACTGTAGCTTGATTCTTAGCACAGTGTATTTCACAAGTTTCAAGCGATCACAAGTCAGGTGGAAGTCTCCTGTGATTTAACACATTTTGATACCTGTTCTGTAGAGCTAGGTTTCCTCTTCTGCTGAGCTGAGTGAGATAGTTACTTTTTTCTGTTTTGGAAGCAATTTCTACTACCCCAGCATGGTATACAGCTACTCAGACTCTTACAAATACATTCATTGTTAGCAAATGCTTTTTGATCATAAGGTGAAGGTCCTGTTTTGTCCTCAGCATGTACAAATTATTCAGAAAGACAGAATATGGATTACAGTAATTGGAATGATTACATATATATGGAATATACAAACTAATTTTCTCTAGCAAAGAGGCTAAAAAAAGTAATTGTATGTAATCTTTTTTCTTTATTTCTGTTAGGCAAACTTAGTGCCCACGAAAGATTTTAAATTGAAATCCAAAGAGAATTAAATATTTTTATATAATATTAAAACATTCCAAGCTGTATTAATAGGTCATTGGTTAATGCTGTAAGTACAGCAGGGAGCAAAAAGCCAGAGGCAGAGTGCTTTCAAACATTTAAGTGCCTGTTGATGCACACTATGGCGAAATTAAGTGAGCTTCATTAATTTAAATTTTACTTAAGGAAAATGATGTTTAAAAGGCTATTTTAGGATTGGTAGAGATAAGTTTATGCAATATATTGTTGCACTAAGAAAATATTTATCATAGAATGATAAGAAAAAAGAACTTGTGGAGAAATGAGGTGTCTGACTGCTCTTTCTGCTGATTTTCCTTGCTAGTCTCCCTCTCCCCCTCCTCTGCCAGTCCTATTATAACCCAGGTCCACCTGATTCCACCTAACGCATATCTATCATATCGTGCAGCCTTGAGAATGGTTCTTTTCTGTTCCAATTTTTGTTGCCAAAGTTATCGATAGGGTCCTAGTAACTGGAATGCATGAAAAAGAAAAAATTTGGGGCAAAATGCGGCTGGCTGTCAGTGATGACAAAGTCAGGAATTGCCAGTGTACTTAGTAGACTAAAATTTTATAATGGGCAAAAAAGAACACTCCATGCCTACGGAGCTAAGAATTTCTTTGTAGTCGTAACTAATGTTTTACCCATCTAATAGTCCGAGTTACCAAATTAATAAGGAAAAACATTAGTAATACAGTTTCATTTGTTTTCTTTAAAAAAAAGTCTTACAGCCAGGGGCTTCTACTGAGAGTAACAGGGATGGTGCTTCCTGGGCTCCATACTCCCTGCTTCTCCTGCAGTGCCAGGGAAACCCTGGACTGATGCTGCCTGTGGGATGAGTTTTCCTTCTCACCCTTGGCAAATTCTCTGAATTTGAATTTATTGTATTCATCAAATAAAAGTTCCTAATGAGGTGGGGATTTTCCCAGGTCTTCTAAATAGTTCTATCACCATTCTATAATCCTGAGAACTGTTTACCTGTCTGTATATCTAAGTTTTAAATTTTAGCTTATGTAATTTCTTACAGAGACTGCCTCTCACGTTAATCGTATAGATGACGGAATTAGTATAAAGTATGAGTTCTCTACATTACCAGTTTCACCTTCCAATTCATCACTTATGGAAACCCTGCCAGTACACTGTCTGCTGGGAACAACTCTTTTCAGAGCGTGCTGGTATTTCTTTCTTGATAATAATATGTATTTTCTTACCTGGACATTTCTAATGCTATTGGCATGCGTAACTACACAGAGATGAAAACCAGGAAACCTAATTTACTTAATGAAATCTTAGAAAACCAAACCTAATTTTCGTTAAGGAGTGTTTTGACAACTGGCGTAGGTTGCTCATTTTATCTGAACTAATATGTCCCCCTTGTAAGCAAGAGCAATGTTGTAATGCAATTCTCTAGCAGTGTGTGCTCTAGGCCATGTTAATGTCATTCTTTCTGTTTATTAAGTGCATTTGCTTTTATCTTAGTATTAAAATCATCATCTGTACCTGGTTAGTACAGAACCCTGCTGAGAATATTTTCCACCTCTCAAAATTTCTTGTAGACTTTGTTTTCTAGATTAAATATTAATGTGTCAAGTTAATCCCACTCCATATCACAATGTAAATACATTTTAAATAGATATGCAATTTAAGAGACCAAGTAATGTGTTTAAATAAAATACTTTCCTAGAAGAATTGGGTTTGGTTTTATACTAGAAAGGACTGTAATTTGTTAACTTAAATAATTATCACTTTGTCATTTTCTTTATCGCCACATTTGGCTGTAGGCTATCTTTGCTGTACATGACTTCAATAGCAATGTGTGGTATAGGAATCAAGGTGCTGTATTTTGTGTCTGCTACTACCATATCATTTCTATGACAGGTGCATTGAGTAAAGGCTGCATGGTACGAAGAGGTACCAAAGGTCAAGTGCTTTTGAAACTCTGAATCATTAATGTCAAAAAATGATCACAAGTGTAACACTGCAGGTGGTCTCCGATGTGCAAAATTGTTTCCGCTTCAGATAGAAGGCTGATTGGTAGCATTGGAAAGAAGCATGTCTGCTATTTGTGATATCTTTTGAAGGATTTAGTTTGGCTTGGCTTTACGGAAAGTTGACAGAAGCTTGCTTTGCCCCCCGTCCTGACTTCAGCCTGCTGAATTTCCACCCTGTCTGCTTATGATTTTACCAAAATAAACATTGTCAAAAATATAGTAGCCATCCCATTGTTTGCAAGAGATCACCTTCTGAAAAATATGCTATCGCTTAAATATTTTATTCAATCAGTATCTTGTGCTCAGTTGAAAACGATTTTCACTGGTACCCTTAGCAGAAAATCCTAACAGTAGACTTAAAGCTCACGGTGCTACCTTTGAGTGTTGTTACACTGAGTGTTCCTTGTAACCTATGAATGCCAGCATTGTACTCCTAGTGTTCACCAGCTTATGAAATTGTTCTTCTGGCAGCATATATGTCTGTTGGCTTTGGCAGTTATAAGTAAATGCAGTTCTTTATTCCCATTCTTACTAATTTATTTACATAAACTTAAAAAGTTCAATTGCAGTGTGTGTCAGGAGTTAGAATATTCTTGTTAAGGCATAGAAGAGATTTATTTAGGGGTAGATGTAGGCCTGATGGTCAGGAACCCTGTTTTTTCATCTCATTTCTATACTTTTGGCATCTACTATGTAAGAAAGAGAAAAGGGTGCCTTTTCACTTTTGTGAAGGACTTTGAGCTCTACAGAAGCAAAGGAAAATGCCATTAAACAAAAAAAAAAATAGGCAAAAGCCCCTTAAAAATGCATTTGCTTTTATTTTATTCTGCCATGCTGCCTGTGTGAATACTGTTATAGGTTGTACAACCTACAGTATCTGATCCTTAAACTCATTGAATAAAAGCATGAAAAACTACAACTTTTCAGACTGTGGCTACTAAAATCACAATTACAAGATAGAAGCATAACTTTATGATCTAATTTGCAGTGGAAAATAATTGTCTTCAAGGTGGGGAGTCTGTTGGCAGTTAGTGGAACAGAAGCGTAAACATACCTTGGTTAATTGGCTCGTAAGTCATATATGCTAAAGGCTTTCTGGCGTGTAGCAGGCTGTGTAATTTTAGACTATACAGTATATAAAAATACACTGCTGGATGTAACAAAGTGGTTCTAGTCTATTAAAATACTGGCAAGTGGCGTAAGGGAACAGAGCGTGCATAGATAAGAGAGTCACTCTGTGGGTGATAAGGTAACCAGGGGCCAGTACTGCTTCTTTGTCTCTCATAGTGCCAGTGGGTTCATGCTATTCACATGAATAAAAAGGACATAGGAGATGGCTCGTATGCTCCTCCAGAACATGGTTGTGTCTGAGCAGTGGTTTAAACTTACGGCTGGAATAGTACTCTGCACCTGGGAGTCGCTCACTTTGATTGATCCACTTAGCTCACGTGTTATGAACAAAGGAGTTTTGAGCCAGGCTGTATATATGCAGTTGTTTTATGATGGTTTCTGTGAATAACTGTGAAGAAATTAAAATGGGGGGCAAGGAAGGTAGGTAAGTTTTATGGCAGGCAAGAAGCAACAGCAATAGTATTGGGCATGACAGCTTACTTCAAAATTGTGGCGACAGTCTGGTTGACCCGTCAACCCCCCT